GGAAGCCTCTTGGGCCGTCTTGGAGCATCGGGATGCCAAAAGGCCGGAAAAATTAAACCCGTCAAAGCCCAATCGTAAAACAATGAGTTGTGCCTCTTGGGGCCACCTTGGGAGATCTCTTGGAACCTCGTCGGCCCTCTTGGGAGCTTCTTGGGGGCCTCTTGGATCCGATTGGGGGCCTCTTGGGACTTCCCGAGAACCTCTCGGGGTAGAAAGCTCGGATTCTCGGTTCGTGTTTCCCTTCTTGGGCCTCTCTTGGGGCCGTCTTGGGGCCCTCGCGGGCCGCCTTGGGCGCCTCAGGCGTCTTGGGCGCCTCCGGCACCGCCTTGGGGCCGTGGGCCGCCCAGGGCCCTTTTGAAAGCCTCTTCGGCCATCTTGGAGCTGTCTTGGAGGCCTCTTCCTCCTCCTCGTCCCCCTCCTCCTCCTCCTCCTCCCACTCCAGCTCTCTCTCCTCCTGATCTTCCTCCTCCTCCTGCAGCGTGTTCCGGAAGGCTCCCGCCGGAACATGCTGTGCACAAGTGCTGTCACTGCTCCCGCCACCGTGCCCTGGGTGGTGGGTCAGAGGCCTCATGGGTGTTGGTTTGGATCTCGTGGTTGGCCTGTCGGGGACGTCGTGAAGGCAGTTTCGCAGCTTCTCGGTAGCCGTTTTGGGACCGTTGTGGGGCCTCCTCGGGGCTGTTTTGTGGCCTCTTTAGGCCTCGTTTGGGACTCCTGGGTGCCTCTTGGGGGCCTCCTGGGGCCTCTTGGGGGCTCATTGGGGCCTCCTGGGGCACTCGTCAAGCGGGAGGGTCGAATCTTGGAGTCGTGGTCCCCCTCTTGGGCGCATCTTGGGGCCGTCTGTGGGCTCTGTTGGGCTGTCTTGGGCGACTTTGGGGCCGTCTTGGGGCCCTCTTGGGCCGTCTTGGGGCGCTCTTGGGGGCCTATTGAGCCGTCTTGGAACGTCGGACAGCCGAAAAAGCTGGAAGGCCAAAATCGTTCGAAAACCTTTGTAAAATTGACGATTTCAGCCTCTTGAAGCGCTCTGGAGAGGCGTCTTGAAGCGTCGTGGAGTGCCTTCGGGGGCCTCTCGAGCCGTCTTGGGCCTATCTTGGGCGTCCTGGAGCGGTCTTTCGGCAACACGGGGCCCGCTTGGGCCGTCTTGGGAACCTGTGGCGGCCCTCCTGGACTATTTTGGACCTCCCTGGCCGCCCCGTCCTCCCATGGGGGTTCGGAGGCGGCGGCCTCCGAGGCCCAGGACGCGGAAACCATGTAAAAACAACGGGAAAATGAGCCCCGTGGCCCCCATGGGGGTCAGAGGCACCAATCTGGCGGGCCCAGGTCCCGTTCCCCAGTATATATATATATATATATATATATATATATATATATATAAAACCCACATCGGGTTCCACCCAGACTGGCCCACACACAGTAAGTTCCACACACCATGGCTCCCACAAACCCAACACACGTGGGGTTCCGAAGACACACACACACTCACTTTTGAGCGGTCGCGGCCTCGCGCGCAGCGCAGAAAGTCGAGTACCACCGCGCGCAGACCCCGGACGCGCTGGGCCCTCAGAAGCGGGAAACCCAGCGCCATAGGCCACCCGGGCGTAGGTGTCCCGTGTGGAAGCGAGACAAAGAACGGCGAGGGGCGACGGACCGAGGGGAGAGAGTCCCACAAGGCGACAGCTGGACGACGAGGACGGCAAGCGCAGGCTCGACAAGAGCGTGCGGGTTACAGCCGCAAGGAGGCCAAGGGAAAGACACACACACACACACACACACACACACACACACACACACACACACACACACACACACACACACACACACACACACACACACGCTTTTCGGTCGCACGCAGCTGGGACGAAAGCCGCTCGAGCGCTCTGGGAGTCAAAGCTGGGCACAATGAGGCTGCCAAAGATCGACCCTGGAAAGTCGCCCCCTCACGGGGCAGTGGCGGGAAGCCACTGGCAGCGGGCAGCAGCGGAGAGGCCAGACGGGCGCCAGCGGCGGGCAGAGCCCCTGGCGGGCGGCGGCAGGCAGCAGCGGCGGGCCATGCCCCTGGAGGGCGGTGGCGGCTGGCGGTCGGCGGGCCAGCGGCGGGCAGCAGCCGCGGGCGGGAGGCGGCGCCGCTGCTGGCACCGGCGGCGGCGGCTGGCGGGCAGCAGCAGCGGGACCGGAGGCGCCGGCGGCAGGGCAGGCCGCGGCGCGTCCCGGGGGGCAGCAGCCACCGCACGGGAGAGCCCCGCAGCCGGGAGCGGTCAGCATCGGATCGGCAAATCGGATCGGATCGGAGCGTGCATCGGGTCGGGCCGCGTCGGCACGGAGTCGGAATCGATTCGGGTCGGTTGCGCGAGGATGTACAGCATTGTCATGGAAGCATCGGGCCGTGTCGGATCGACGGGATATCGGAATCGAATCGGATCGAACTGGCTGAAGCAGGGCGGTAATCAAAGATGAAGCGCATCTGAGAGACTGCAAACTATCGAGCATCGATCCTCACCGTGAGGCCGTCGCCGTTGATCCGATAGAGCATGTCCGAGCCCAGGGTGCGCAGGGAGCCAAGGCACGCCAACGATCCTCTCGGTGAGGCCGTCACTGTTGATCCGAAGGCGGCGAGAGACGAAGCTGAAAGGTTCGGAGCCGGCCAGGTCCGCTCGGCGCCGCCCCAACGTCGGTCGATGAACCAGGTGAGGGCGCGGCAACAGAACGGGGCGGACAGCGGGCGTCGTCAGCGGCAGTGCCGCCAGGGCTGACTGGGGGGGGCCCTAGAGCATGTGCTCCGGGAGCTTGGGCACACTATCGATCCTCTTGGCGAGACCATCGCTGTTGATCCGATGGCGGCGTGAGACACGGGCGAAAGCAAGCGGAAACGGAGCCGCGGACCAGGGCCTCCTGGCAGAGATGGCCGACGATCCACAAGGACCCAGGGGACAAGAAGAGCGGTGTCGGCGAACAGCGCGCACCGGTGGTGCGGTGAGGCGCGCGAGCGCGGAGGAGTCAGGGGCGGAGGGTGTGCCCGAGCGCCAGGCGCGCTGCAGGGCAGGGCGCGCCATGGATCCTCTCGGCGATGCCGTCGCTGTTGATCCGATGGCGGCGCGAAAGAGGAGCGGCGAGGCGCAAGCCTCGTAGCCGACAGAGCCGACAGAGCTATTGATCCAAGGGCGCCGCGAGCAAGGATGGCGGACTGGAGACGTACAGTGGGGCCGTGTGAAACGAACCCACCAGGGCGGTCACGCGACGGGACGGGAGGTCAGGCGGGCGGAGGCAGCAGGGCCCTGCCACCACCCGACGGATGCAGGGCGGGCGGAGCCAAGCTGTCACGAGGGGCCACGTCAAGCAGCGCGATGTTGAGGGTCGACCACCGATCCTCAAGGCAAAGCCGTCACCGCTGATCCGATGGAGTCGCCCTGAGGGGCCGTCTCGCGGGAAGGGATCGCGCCGGTGCATCGCGATGATGGAGAGCATCCCGCGAGGCCAACGGTGGCCGCCGTCAGTCTGCTGGCTTCGCAGAGCGGAGTAGAGCTCGCTCTCAGTAGGCGGCGGGACGAGCACGGTCACCCGGCCCTCGCTGTCAGCCCTACACTGCCAGCACCGCGGCAGGAGGGGCGCACCGTCGCCAGAAAACGCCTGGTGCGGGACGGGGCGAGGGCCGGCATGGGGCAGCGGAAATGCTCAGCGAAGACCTCGCGGAACGCCTGCATGCTTTGCTCATAGGTGGGGCCGCGCGGCTGCGGCGGAAGCACCTCGTCAGAGAAAGCCCGCGCAGAGGCGTGGGGGTGCCGCGAGGTGGGGCCCAGGAGGTAGGTGACCCCATTGCAGACCGCTGGGCACCAGCAGCGCGGGCAGTTCTGTCCGTAGCGGGCGGGGCAGGGAGGGCGGCCGCGCGTCCAGGATGAGCCTGCAGCAGTGAAACCAGGTGCAGCGAGTAACCAGCCTCGAACCTATCCCTGACCCCAAGATTGGCAGGCCCAAGGCGATGACACCCTTAGGGATGTGCCCTCAGAAACTGAAGGAATCCCGAAGATCAGCACCGAGGTCATGTGATGCCAGACATAAGGATATGGACATGCTTCAAGGTGGTAATCGAGTGCTTACCTTGGGCGACCGGGAGATGCCCGCGCGTGCGGGTGCTCGGCGGTGGGGCGCTGGCGGGTGGTGCGCAGAAATACGGGGCACTGCTGCTGGAGGGCGCGGGGGCTGCCCTGGGAGCCTGCTCGCAGCACTCGGGGAACTCGTCTGGAAAGCGAGTGCAGTTGGCGGGTGCGCCAAGCCTGGGGGGTGCGCAGCCCCTGTTGGATGGCGCGCTCGCGCAGAGAGGGCGGTGTGGCGCCAAGATGACCGCCTTCGCGGAGGTGGGCTTCAAGGTCCGCCTGGCCTGTCATGGAGCGGATGGGCCCGCGTGCGGAAGGGCAGATCCACGGGCCGACCGTGGTAGAAGAGGCACCGGCATTGGCCCTTGCCGTCGCACTGGGTGCAGAGGGGAGTGCCCTGCACGTTGACCCAGTGCTTGGAGGGGATGCGCTCATCCCCGAAACTGTCATTCCAGAACCCTCTGGTATAGTCCACAGTCGACGCAGGGCCACCAGAGAACGAGCACACATACACACACAACTGGTTCAATCCTTACGGTTCCGCACAGGACTCCGCACACACAGAGTTCAACACATAGGGTTCCGAACACATTGGGCTCCACACAAACATAGTGGGCTCCACACACACACACACACACGTAGATTTCCCCCCCACACACACAAAGAGCGACAAACAAACGGTTCCACACATACGGCGCCACTCAAATAGAACTCCGCAAACACAGTGGGGCCATGCACACAGGGCTCAACACACACAGGGCTCAACAAGTCAGATTCCGCGCACACACTGGGGGTCCAAACACACCAGGGCTTTACACCGGGGCTTTGCGCACACATGGCTCAACACACTGGGGTCGTTCCTCTCTAACTGCCTGGGGTCCACACGCTGGCGTCTCTCTGGCAACGAGTCAAGGCTCAATCAAGGAGCCTCTCGGATAGTATGGCATCTCGGGAACCACTCCGCTTTTGCGCTGCGGCGGCAGTCATCCCGACCATCGCCGCAAAGATGACGACAAATATCTTCAGGCTACCACTGGATGTTGCCTCGGCGCGCTCAAGCACCGCGGGCTCCTCCAGTGTCGCGGCAGGTGGTGGGCCACGCGACTGGCATTGTCCGCTGATCCCGCAGGTGCCTGGCAAGCACTGGCAGGACGAAGTGTCATGGTCACAAAACGCATTCCGACTAGGATCGCACCATAGCCATCTGCAGGTCCCACCAGTGTCCGTCTCACATCCAAGGGGTTTGGCCAAGGTTGGAATACGAGGTGCGCAGGGTCTGAGCGGATCGAGGCAGGTCTGTGGTGCGCACTTGATTTGCAGCTCATGCCACTGGTAGCGGAACTCTGCCCGACCCCCGTTGGGGCCACCAAGCAATGAGACAAGCCACCCCAATAATGACAGAAGCTTTCAAAACATGCCTGCACCGAACGGTCTGTTAACTACGTGCAAGTTCGCCAGATCTCGGCCGTCGCTGATGAGGCCCATCTTCACAGGATTCAGCACATAAGGCCCCATGACATGGGCGCGGGAGCTTGGCCGTTGCCGACAATGCCCTGCACACACGGTGCCTCGACGAGTTCCCGTGAAGATTGTCCCGCCACATGCCCCGCATCATTGGTACGAGGGGCCGCCACCGAAAGAGCTTTACATGGGTTCCGCCTGGAAGCCCAATGCACGGAGTCCCGCCCGCGGGATCCCGCGAGCATGGGCCCTCGCCGCCACGGTCCCGCACCTGCGCCCCCGTGACATTAGGATCCCGTCCACAAGGTCCCGCCCATCGATCCCGTGACATTGAGGTGGGCGATTTCGGCCGTCGTCGGCACGGGTCCCGCCCACACAGGCCTTGCGGCGTGCGCGCACGCAGTGGTTGGGCCGTCGTCGGTGAGGTCCTGCCCATGCGTTCTCGCCCACCAGGCCCCGGGCAGGGTCCCGCCCACAAGGGTCTCATGACATGGACACGAGGGTCACGCCGTCGCCAGATGGGTCCCGCGCATGCACTCCCACCCGCGAGGCCCAACGACACGGGAGCGTTATGTCGGCCGTCGCCGACAGGACCCGCCCATGAGGTCGTGCGCAGAGTCGCCCAAAAAGTCGCGGGACGTGGGACTGGCGGATCGGCAGTCGCCGACAGAGTCCGTACGAGCGGGTCCTGCTCAAGTGCTCCCTCGCATACGGTCTCGCTCCGAGGGCTCCAAGAGAAGGGCGCACGTTTTCGGCCGTCGCCGATAACGTCCAGCTCATAAGGCCCCGCTCACAGGAACCTGGCCACAAGGTCCTGCCCACCAGGCCCAACAGCTTGGGCGCGCGTCTCGGCCGTCACCGATGAGGATCCGCCTAGAGAGACCCGCACATATATCCCCATGACGTGGGCGCAGAAGATGGGCCGTCGCCGAGAACGTTCCGCCCGTGTGTGGTGCCCCCGTCCAGGGGTCCCGCGCATAAGAGGCATGAGAACATCTGGCTGCTTAGACAGTCTCGCAATGCAAATACGTAGTGGGGGGCGACTAATGGTAAAGCTTGTGTGTGTGTGTGTCACGCACGCGCGCTTGTAATCGCACAAGTCCTCAAGACCCCAGCCTTTCACCGCAGTTAGCCGCGGCGAGCGGCACTGACCGCAGAAGGCTTGACAGCCAAACAGGCAAGAATGCGATGCACGCGAGCCCGCGCGAGGCTGTGCGTATATTGGGTGTAGGCAATGCAAGAGTACGGGAACGGAGACGACCTCGCCCCGCACGTAAGGCCCCTGTGGCCGATGAGATCCTTCGTGCGGTCCGGCGTCCGACTTTGCGAGTACATCCCAAACGAAAGCGCGGGATTCGACACCGGACTTCCCCGAAACGGTGTTGGGAGGCGAGCTCGGGGGGCCCCACTTCCTGACGCGCTAGGGGTCAACGATATGCTCACGCCTGATCAGATGACGCAGGCGTGGACCCCGCACAACGACTCTGTACAACCTATCACAGACTCATCATGTGTGGAGAAATCTGTGGGACATTATCGTGCAGGACTTCATCGTGGGACGCGAGGCTGGACCCTATCATGTGGGACGCTTCATTATAAGACCCTATCGTGTGGAACCCTGCCGTGTGGGCCCCTTTCGTAGGGCACTCTGACATATGAGGTCCCATCGTGTTGAGCTCTATCGTGTGGGACGCTGCCGTGTGATACCCTATCGTGTGGGAGCCTGCCGTGCGAGAACCTGTCGTATGGAAACCATTGGTGTGATACCCTATCGCTTGTGGCCTTATCCTGTGAGACCCTGTCGTGCTGGACCCTGTCACGTGAAACCGCTTCGTGTGGGACAGTACTGTGTGGGACCCTGTCGTGTGGGATCGTACAGCGTCGGACCTGATCGTGCGGGACCTATGGTCCATCGTGCAGAAGCCTACCGTGCGGGATCCCATCGCGCGGGACCGCAGCGCATCGCAAGGCGCCCCCAGATTTCACGCCACTCAGGCCCAAGCGCAAGGTAAACTCAGAGGGGACCGTAGTACTCGGCACCGCCAGGGAGTCTGCCACACGAGGCCAGCTCGTCCCAATCCACGTAAAATTCAGAAGTGCAAGCACTGCTTGGGAAGCGGGGGATAACATACGCGGGTGGACTGGTAGGCATTTCCTCTTGCCCTGTGCTTCGGTCCACTGAAGGATGCAAGAGCCCAGTAAAGACCTTAAGTCCAATCATAGTGAGACATGTGTGCTATATTCCCCAGATAGCTCTCTGAGAGCTCAGAGGGTTTCAGATTAGCAGCCGGCAGCGTAGGGTAGGTCAGCTCCTCTCCAAGGCTCCCGGGCAGGCATCCCCGCAGCGACCTGCTTGAGGCTGCAGCGTGTCCCGAGAACCGTTTTTCTACTCGTTCCCAATACGCGTGCCTGAAGCCTTGCCGCAGGTCCTTCGAAGCTCCTTCAAAGCTCGCATTTCGAAGCTTGCAAGATCCCCGGGCATGCTTTCCAGCGCCCTGGTATGCGTCTCCCAGAAGCTTTTTCCAAGCTTCCAAGCTTCCCAGGCATGCTTCCCAGCGCCCTTGCCCAACGCCCCCAATAAGCATCTTACGCGCTTTGGACTACGTCGCTATCCGGGTTGTGGACTGCATAAGTATGCTATACGCTGGCGTGGCAAACTATGATAGAATTTCTGGTTCATTTCTATGACATGCTGTGCTGTGTGCTGGGCTGCTGTAAAACAGTCCGTGTGTTTCGCCTGAGGCATCCTGAGAATGCCACCATCAGGCCTCTTAGGGGACTCATGTGCTCCTCCCGCAGGCGTCTGGTCACACCTAAGGAATCCAGGAGACTTTCTGGAGCCTCCTGGGGCACCTGGGGCCTGCTGGGGCCTTTGGTATCTTCCTGTGGCCTCCTGCGGAGTCCGTTAAAGCACAGACAACTTGTTCTGATCTAGAACATAAAAACATACATACGTACACATACATACATACATACATACATACATACATACATACATACATACATACATACATACATGCATACATGCATACATACATGCATGCATACATACAGAGATACATACATACATACATACATACATACATACATACATACATACATACATACATGCAGACAGGCAGGCAGACAGGCAGGCATGCATGCATGCATGTATACATACATGCATACATACATGCACTGCTATATTTAAATACGTCTGCCGATGTGTATATATATACAGTATATGCATATGAACACATGCACACAATGACACATGTGCTCAAGCATGCAAGCGCTTCGTTTGGAGAGAGCGGCGCAGTCTGGGGCGCTCTGGTCTCCGAGTCTCTGAGTTGACAGCCTCGAGCGCCAACGTGCGGGTTTCAGCACGAAACTTGCGCCAACGTGTGCCGATGGGCCGAAAAAGGGTGAAACATCGTGAACATGCAGTACCTTTCCACTCTTGTGTGCCGACAGAGAGGCCAGAAGGCTTGGAGAGAGGGAGGAGGGAACGAACAGGGGAGGCGCGAGTATCATCCTCCCGATCCACTCGCCACAATGTCCACCGCGGGCATACGTATGTGTATACATTTATGTGTATATGTACATGTGTACATATGCGTGCAAATGTGTACACATAAAGCTATATCTGAATGAGTACGCATGTACATATGTATATATACATGGTTATCTGTACACTCAGACATACAAGTGTGCAAATAGAGATACACACAAACAAATATGTGCGCACAAATACGCCACCAGCCTACAAACGATAGCATGATCAATCATATGTCGCATGCATCTTGGATGCCCCCATTGCCCAGACATGGTGTTCCAAAACGCATGTCAAGTATGAGACAGCTGCCCACCGGTCCTCGAACTTGACGTCAACACATGTGTACGTTGAAAGGTGGATACCCCATGGCTCTTGACATGTACATTAAAACAAGTACCAAGCACATGTTGGGCCCAGGCTTACTAATGTGTGCGTACAAATACACATACATCCATATGCATATGTGTATATCTACACAAAAATGTACAACTTGAATGGTAAACACTTTTTCCTGTGGTTTTTGACAGATTTTGACGTCCTCGTCATTCCAGACATCCTGCATCCCACGACGGCCCAAGAGGCTTCCAAGATCCCCCCAAGACGGTCCAAGAGGCTTCCAAGACGGCCCCGAAACGGCCCAACAAAGCCTCCGGACGCCCAAGTTGGCTCCAAGACGGCGTGCAGCGCGCCCCACAGCCGCCCAGAGGCGCGCTCAAGATAGCCTCACGGGGCACCCGATGGCCCAAGAGGCCCCCAAGAGAGTCCCAAGACGGCCTAAGAGGGCTCCGAGACGGCTCAAGAGAGTCCCAAGACTTATGATGTTCCAATATACTGTCGCCTTGACTGCCAGAAAGAATTGCGAGCACCAAGAAAGTACCGAAACTTTAAGGTTTTCACGTGTCGGGCCCTGGGAGACGATATTCGTTCGACACTGTTTCGATACTCTTCTGGGTGTTCGAAATTATTTCTGGGATGCGGCCCTTAAGTACAATGGGAGCAACATAACCTCAAGACGACCAAGAGGGGCCCCAGATGGTCCCTGGGGGGCCCCAAGGGAGCTGCAAGAGGGTCATAGGAGGCCCCCTGGACGGCCGAAGAAGGCCCCCAGAGGGCTCCAAGGTGGCCCCAGCCCCCCAGGACGGCCCAAGACAGCCCAAGAGGGCCCACACCCGGCCCAAAAGAACCCAAACGGGACCCCCAAGAAAGCCCAAGAGGCCCCCAGAGTTTCCAGACTGCTTCCAAAAGACTCCCTGGAAGCTTCCCAAGGCTCCAAGGGGCCCAAAGAAGCACTACAAACGCCCCGGACTCACGATCCAAGTCAGGGGTGTGCCGGCATGGGCGAGGC